AACAATAACAATACATCAATAACAATAATAAAAAAATAATAAAGTAATAATAATAATATACACGAATGTTATAGAAATATTTCAATTAAGTGAATCAATAAATCGATAAAGTTAATTAAGTAGCGGATTGGTGATTATAATATATATACATACATATATACATATACACATACATACACAAATGATGACAATCAGTACTTATTCAATAATTGTTGCTTAAAAAGTTTTTTAAAATTGCTCACTGAGTTCAGAGACCTTAGTGCTTGTGGAATGTTATTCCATATCTTTGACCCTTGGTATGATATACTTTTCTGACCAAACTGAGATTTTTTTATTGCTATATACATATCATTTTTATTTTTTTTGAAGAATATGAAGTCGGTTTAATTTGGTAGAACTCGCAGAACCCCATGATGAAATTGAATATGTCAAATGTGGAAGGATTAGAGCATTATAATTTTAAGTAAAATATCATCGGGCAATGTGTGTTTTAATTTGTTGAGGGCACCAACTACCTTTGATATCTTAGTTGCAATCGCATTTATATGGCAATCATAGGACAATACATCATCAAGGTAGACTCCAAGAATTTTTGTTTGATTTGTACGTACAATTTCGACACAGTTAATAGTAAGTTTTAAATTTGCATTGTCAATACTTTTATATTTACTCTTAAATATAACATAGCTTGTTTTACTTTCATTTATCTTAAGCTGATTTGCATTGAACCATTTAGAAAGTAATACAAGCTCATTGTTTAATATTTGAAAAGCCTCTTGCAAATCATTATGCTTAAAGAAAACATTTGTGTCGTCTGCAAACATGATCATCTATATTTTTTTACATGAATACATAAGATCGTTTACATACAGCAAAAATAGCAGGGGGCCCAATATCGAGCCTTGTGGAACGCCACATCTTAGTTCCTTTATTGCTGATGAACATACATTTACTACGGTGTACTGTTGTCTATTACTTATATAGTCTGTAAACCATTTCAATGTTATGCCTCTAAAACCATAATATTTAAGTTTTTCCAATAGGATAGAGTAATTTACCGAGTCAAAGGCTTTTGACAGATCTAGAAATACACCAATTGTAAAGCACTTATTTTCGATAGCATTTGTAATATGTTCTACAGTCTGAAGTAATGCTTGACAAGTCGAATGATTTTTTCGAAAACCATATTGAGATTTGTTTAAAATTGTAAATTTGTTTAGATAACACATAGTTTGATCATATACAACTCTCTCATACAATTTTGATATACATGGTAATACTGAAATCGGACGATAGTTACAAATATCCTTCACCTCTCCATTCTTATAATTTATATAGGTATAACTTTTGCAATTTTTAATTGGTTAGGAAAACAACCAGTCATCAAAGATACGTTAATAATATGAGTAAGTGGTTTTATAATAGTATGAGATACAGGCTTAATGTAATTAGAATTTATTCCATCATGACCCGGTGATACGTTAGTTTTCATATTATTGACATAAACGTGTATATCATTTTCAGTTACTGGTCTAAAAAACATTGAGTTTACATAGTTACCGGTTAGAAAGGACTTTGGATTTTCACTTGGCGTATTGTCATTATTGAATGTATTAGCTAAGTTTTGTCCGATGTTGATAAAATAAGAAGTAAATGTTTCAGCCTGTAGCTTTGGTTCTTTTAATTCATTTTGTCCAAATTTAAATTCTTTTGGTAGAGTATTTTTACGTTTACTGCCAAGAATCTCATTTATAATGTTCCAAGTTTCTTTTATATTGTGTTTATGTTTTTCAAATAGATCAAAATAATATTGTTTCGTTCGCATTCTAATTGTGGATGTTAATTTATTTCGGTATATTGTGTACTTTACTTTATTATTGTCTGTCGGGGTTTTCTTATATTTTCTGTATAATTTGTTTTTAGTGGAGATTGATAAAGCTATACCTTCAGTTATCCATGGCGATTTTATTCGGTCTGCCCTAATCTTCACTTTTATTAATGGGAAACACCTGTCGATTGTCGCAGTTAAAGTATTGGCGAATAGTTGGTATGCCGTATTCGCATCATTACTATTCAATACGTTTTCCCATTGGTGCCCGCTCATCTCATGTTCAAAACGTTCAGAATGTTGTATTGAAAATTTACATTTATATATATATTTTTTGTTCTGTTTTTTATATTTTTCAGATTTATTGATGCAAAATATGGAGAAATGGTCAGAAATATCTGATATTAATATGCCTGTTTTTATGCACGTAGGATTTATATTACAGTAGATGTTATCAATGATTGTGGCTGAGCTATCACATACCCTTGTGGGTCTATTGATTAGTGGTTGGAACGAGTTGGAGAGAATGCTGTCCACATGACACTGAATATCACTACACTTTTCATAATGTAAGAGATCTATATTAAAGTCACCTGTAAGGTATGCCTGTTTTTTTCAATATTAATTAATTGCATCACTGATGACAGCTCCTCATTAAATTCCCTCATTCCTAATTCAGGTGGTCTGTAAATAACCCCACATATGACTGTTTTATTATTTTTAATATTAATCTCAATAAAAAATGATTCAGCATTCGTAATTTTTGCCGATAGATCATCACGTGATTTGTAACATAGGTTTTCAGATATATAAAATGCAACTCCACCTCCTTTTTTCAATTGCCTATCTTTATAAATAAATGAATAATTGGGTAATTGATATAACCCTTCTAGATCATTATTTGAAAGCCATGTTTCTGTTAGAGCAATAACTGAAAAATTAAAATTTAGTGAGAATATAAAATTGGAAATAGCATCAAATTTGTTTACAATGCTGCGACAATTCAAATGAAAAAAAGAAAAATTGTTTCCTGTACATAAAGTAGGCATATTAAAATTAGATATAAAGTCTTCTGTGCAGTAATATTTTGTAGATTCAGTACTGTAGTCATTAACATCATCAATATCATCAGAAAATGACATCATGTATAATTGTTTAAGCAAAATAAAAAGAGCAATAAAAGGTCAACAAATCAATAAAAATTGTAATATCCTAATAATAGTGACAGTAATAAT